AATCTATTATCTTAACTAATTATGCTGCTAAGTCCAAGAGGAAAAATTATTCAATGTACTTGGTAGATACTCAAAGAATATTGGATAGAAGAAAACAACCTTACTTTAAAGACTCTCGATACAGAGAGAATTGGAAGAACCTCTAAAATCAGTACCTGATGTCACATTTATTAAGAGCATACAAAGACTGAGGACAGTTCCGGTCAAGCTGGGAACAAGAAACACTGTCCAGTATTGTTACTCCTCAGCATTATTTCAAAGACTTGGAAGAGAGAAAGTTGTTATTGGCAAATGTCTGCTTAAACATGTCTGTCTTAAAAACCAAGAGGTGTCATGGAAATCTTACACACAAATGGGCTCCTCGAGAACAATTTTCTTTAATGCATTTTAATAGTTTCTACAAAGTGGCAAAAGCAAAAACTTTATCCCTAAAAGCCCTGGAAAAAATATAAATTTAAAACAACATGCTCCTAATACCAGTAAAAGATAAAACAAATATAAAAGACCACCAGATGGCATTCGGACAAGCTCACTGCTGAAATGTTTGTCCTGCTGGGTCATCTACTGTGAGCCGAAAATGATAGGGTTTGTTTCATCTGAGCACACAGAGGCAGTTTTCATCAAACACAATGGCAGTGCGGTTCACAAAAGCATTTGCAATTTCCTGTGCCACGGCCACACATAAAGCCGTGGTTCCCAAAATCACCCCACGGCCAGTAGCAGCAGCACCACCGCTCGAGAACACGCTGAGAATGCAAATTCTGAGACCTCATTTCCTGACCCACTGAATCGGAAACTCTGCAGGTGGAACCCAGTCATTAGGGTTTGTCAGCTCCTCCAGGTGACTGTGATACCTGTGCACATTGGAAAACCACCGACGTAGAGTCAGGGGCAGTGATGCAGTTGTTGGCCAGCCCGTAGAATGCTCAGGGCCTTCATCAGTCTGGGACCCAGTCCTGGTGTATGAGCTGCCTGGCCTCTTTGCAACTCCGAGATCAAAAATACAGGCCTGAGGCCAAAAGCCCCTGGGCCAAGTCATTCTTTTGTTGGGAGTCTTTGGGTTTGCCCCACCTTCGTGGAAACCCGGTTTAACCCGGCAGTAATCAACCGTAAACCCAGGAGGCAGGGCCACCACCTGGCTTAGCCATTGCTTAATCTCCAGAATGGACCCAGTGCAAAGCACGTAGCACCTGGTGCTCAGTAAGTTTCTGTGAGTGGAAGAGTGAATTAATGAACTTCCTTTTATGCCTGTACAGGGGTGAGTGATGGTGGGTCCAGCAATAGTGGGTGGCTGGTCTGGACCCCAGAGGACAGACTTTTGGTGATTATGTGTTGTCCAGCGTGCTGGCATCAAAAGGTCAGACGTCAGTGGGTCCCTTGAGATGAGAGTACCCTTGACAACATCCTTTCCCCAGCATGAGGGATGAGAAAGAAGCTCAGAGGTCTCCACCACGTTCCGTGGCTCTAAAGGCCACAGGGTTGGCTACCAGCAGCTAAACACTGGGAGCTACCAAGACCTCCAAAAGAAGGTCTGGGTACCTGAGCTTTCTCCTCCGGGGCTCAGAAGTGCCGAGGCCGACACGGACAGGTGGTTCATCACTCACCTTTTTCAGTTTGGAGTTTTCTTGAATGGCACAGATTTCATTACTGCTTAAAGGCTTTCTGCAATCGCTGCGGGCAATTTCTACACCAATAAGATATTCCAGACGATTTGTGACCTGTCAGCAATTGTGCAATTTTATTTTAAAAAGTTGTATTTTTTTTTAAAGTTTTGGCAAAAAAAAAAAAAATCACTTTCACTAGTGTCCTTTCCACTCTACTTCCTCCCCCACCCCAGACAGAGCATTAGAAGAAGGCTAAGATGCCCACTCCTGGAGTCCTTTGCACCCCGAGATCAGTCAGGACTCCACAGCCTTCTGGAGCTGGATGCTTGGGTAAAGGCTCCTCTCCAGTTTATCACCTCCTTGAAGGCAAGACCTTATCATTCCATTTCCTGTCCCCAAGCCCAGGGCATGCTGAATGCTCGGTGAGGAGCGGGAGGAGAAGAACCGTCTGCTCTCCTGGGCCTGAGATGCTCAGGTTCACACAGGGCTGACCAGTGAACAGCCCCCTCAGCCATATTAGGCCCCAGTCCCTCAGATTCCTGTGAAACCTCCCATCCTCTGGGGTTTCCCCGCCCAAACCCCTCCCACCAGCTCAGACACTGTCCAGAAGGAGCCAGGGAGGCATGAGTTTGCCTGCCTTGTTCTCTGCTGAGTCTCCCGTGAGTGAAACAGCAGTAGGTTTAGAGCAGGACATCAGTATTTGCTGAATTCATTAGTGATTGCATTCAATCAAGGCTACTTATGATGTCCATTTAAATCTGTTTTAATCTGGCATTAAAGGATTACAGCAGGAGAGGAAGGAGTGTCTGCTGGTTGGGTTCAGGTTCACCCAGACTCACCTTTCCTTATCAGACCTTTTCTCACCGCTAGCTCTCCCTCTGTCTCCCAACCTTAGCAACTAAATGAATGTTTGTTCTGCAGTTCAGGGTTTAAATGAGTTAGTCTATGCAAAGGACTTAGAACAACAGCCCAGGCATTTGTAGAAAGCACTCTGTGTGTTCGCCGCCTTATTGCAAGCGCCTGTGCTCTCCGGCACTCAGATATTGAGGATTTTTGCATAGTGGCACTTTTCTCCTATGCCCACTCTTTCAGTCTGGCTTCGGCTTCAGAGTGGTTCTCCTGGGTCTCCGGCACACTCAGTTCATGCCTGTGGCCCAGTCAAGGGGCTCTGGGGGCCCTGGTATCCAGTCTCCCTTGCCCTTCTGATTCCGTCATATGCAAATGTCCACCTGTATGGAGAGAGCACCTTTACCTGCAGCTGGGCTTGCAGCGTCTTGACCACCAGGAAGACGTACTTGTCCTCACTCTCTCTGTTGTATTCTTGCATGGCAAACCACAGACACTGCCTCACGTTGGCATCTGAGGCATTGGTGGGTTGTAGTTTCCTCAGCACCCCCTTCTCATCCTTGTTGGGGTCTTTCCTGGCCACTAGGGCCAGGGGGATGGTGAGGAGAAGCAGGGAGAGCCACCGGCATCTGGGCATGGTCCTTCGGGCAATAGGCACAGTCGAGTCTCCGTGTCCTTCCAGGGCTGGCGCTGCTGGCAGGAAGCCGTGGTCGTGGCCACTGCTATGGGTTCAAGAACCTTTGTGCCACACGTTGCCTCCTCTTAGCATAAGCCCAGCTGGATTCAAGACAGGGCCATTAGGGTCACTCTTTGGGGTTAGCCCTCTCTTTCTCCAAGGAAACCCACCCAGGAATGCCAGCTAAGGAGTCTCTCTACCAGCCTCCCCTCCTTATCCTGAGAACTCCCCTCTACGTAGGCCCCGAAGTGTCTATGCCTACCCCTGTGCACGTCACTGCTTCTCAGTCCTGTATGAGGTGACCATGTAAACTCTGGCTGCCCCAGAAGCCTTGTGGCCTCAGCCCTTGGCGGACTTTCAGCCTGCTCTGCCTGCAGTTCCCTCTTACTCCCTGTGGAGCTGGGTGCTGACCCGGGCCGTGGTTCTCCTGGGTCTCCGGCACACTCAGTTCATGCCTGTGACCCAGTCAAGGGGCTCTGGGGGCCCTGGTCTCCAGTCTCCCTTGCCCTTCTGATTCCATGCCCTGCAGGGAGGTTACCCTTTGTGATGTAATCCAGCACCTGTGTCCTGCCCCAGTGAAGACACCTCCTCCCACTGTGGGGACACCTCCCACTGTGGGGACACCTCCCACTGTGAAGACACCTCCCATTGTGGGGACACTCCCACTGTGAGGACATCCCCACTGTGAGGACATCCCCACTGTGAGGAGACCTCCCACTTGCCAGTCTCTGGCCTTTGGTCCAAGCAGCTCGCACAGGCCCACAGAGAGCAGGCAAATGCCTGCTGCCCTGCCATCAGAGGGGCGGCCTGTGATGGTTAATACTGTCAACTCGATTGGACTGAAGGACACGAAGTATTGATCCTGGGTGTGTCGGTGAGGGTGTTACCAAAAGAGATTGACGTTTGAGTCCGTGGGCTGGGGAGGCAGAGCTCCGCTTAATCTGCAGGCATAATCTAATCAACTGCCAGCAAATGCAGAAAAGCGTGAAAAGGAGAGACAGGCCCAGCCTCTCAGCCTACAGCTTTCCCCTGTGCTGGATGCTTCCTGCCCTCGAACATCGGACTTCAAGTTCTTCAGTTTTGGGGCTCAGCCTGGCTCCCTTTGCTCCTCAGCTTGGCAGATAGCCTATTGTGGGACCTTGTGAGGGTGAAAGTTAATACTTATAAACTCCCCTTTATATAAAAATTATGTACATATATATAGATGAGTTTATTAAGTTAATAATTATTATATATAAATTTTATATAAAGGGGAGTTTATTAAGTATATATATATATAGAGAGAGAGAGAGAGAGAACTTATATATATATATAAGTTCTGTCTCTCTAAAAGAGTCCTGACTAATACAGGGCCCCTCTGGCGTCTCTGCCCACCTGTGCCAATGACTCTGTTTTCCCGAATGCCTGGCTGCTGAACTTCCTTGGCTTGGGCCCACAGTACCCCCCCTGCCCTGTCCTACCAGGGTAAGGGTCACGTGGCTCACTCTGATGCCCAGGCCTGGCCCTTAGTGGGAGGGGGGGCTCATGCACCTGTTGAGCTCTCAAAGCTTCTGTTTTTCTGTGAAAATCCCAAACCAGCATCCAGAAACTTCCTGAAAAGGCAGAGAGGCGAGCATTCTTCCCGGGCTATGGGTTCCGTGAGGAGGGCAATGTACAGGGAACACACATGGGCAGGACTCTGTCAGGCAGGTGCAAAGCATTGCAGAGGGCGAACGCATTATGCTGTATTTAAACTTTCTCCCCATAGGTGGATTCTTCGGTTGTTATTTTCATCCGTTATAAACAGTATTGCAGTGGACAATCCCTTTCCAATGTCTTCATGATGTTACACATGTATTTCTGTACAATAAAACACTAGACCAGAAATTGATGCAAAGATTTATGCAAATTGAGATTTATTATCAATTGCCAAGATGTTCATCACTTACTAATTATGTATTCATGATTTTCAAATCCTGCTGCATGTTAAAAATACTGAAGTTTTCAAACACCAGGGCACAGCTCATTGATAAAACCAGAATCTCTGGAAGAGGGTCCAGGAAGTCAGCTGTTTTTAAAGTTCCCCAGGGGTTCCAATCTGCAGCCAAGTTTGAAAACCACCGTAGTGGATCTGCGCTTTCTGATATTAACGTGCACATGAACCCCCGGGACTCTTGTTAAAATGCAGGTGCTGAGTTTGTGGGTCTGAGGCAAGGCCTAGATCGTGCATTTCTAACCATCTCCCTGTGTGATCCAAATGCTGCTGAGACTCGGAACCCAGTTTGATTAGAGAAGTTGTGACAATCCCTGCTTCTTTGTATCTCTGCCTTCAGCCTAGCCTTCCTTTATGGGATAGGAGATGATTATGCTTCATTGATTTGATTTGCACTATTTGTATTATTGGTCAAGGTTAACCATGTTTTCATAGTGGCCCACTGAGTCTGGGATCATGTGATCTGGGCCCCAGGAGGCATTTAGAGCAGACTCCTTTGGTGAGGCCAGCTGTGACACCTTGACGTGAAGCCAAGCCTCCTGGACCAGCCAAGGGGCAGTCAGCCTGTAGACCTATGTGCCTGAAAATGAAGGCTCACTGTGGTTAGCTACAGGAGGGGTGGTGTGTTATGCAGCCCTTCGGGGTCAACAGCTGACTGATACACACACGTTCACTGAACCCAAGCAGTATTTCTGGGTTTCAGACTTTGGAGAAGTATGTGGTGGTGGTTGATAACTAGATAAAATATCCAAATAAATTTTTACTTCCTACTGATTCAGGCCATCTAATGACAGAGCCAAATCCAGAGAGATTTCTCCAGGACACAAGACGGACTTGTGGATTCTGGATGATCTTGGATATTGACGCATTATTCAAAAATCTACTAATTTGAGTTTATCATACAACTAACAAGAGTGGCAGGCACACAATTTACCAACCCTACCAAAGCTCCTTACATAGCTCATGATGGCTGGACACTACCAGCTTGTGAAATCTGCAAGAGGGTCATGTTTTTTTGATTTCTGTGAGAGCAGGAACTAAGGAACACAGGCCATGGACAAAAGACACAACTGCAGTAAACACAATTTCTAAAGTATTGGGAACCTTAAAGAACCATTTCACAGCCACAGCCCCCAGTGCCAACCACCTGAAGACTTCATGTATTCCTGATTTAGGCCAAAATTTTCTTTTGCACTACAGATAGGGGTAATGCCTGGTCCCTAAGAGAAATGCAAAATGAAACCAGTGGGATTTTGTGTGGATCAAGGTAGAAAAGAACTGGCAAATTTGAAAAAGAGCAGGACCCCCTGCCTTTCTTGTACACTTGGAATTGAAAGTAAAGGTGCTTCCATCAGCGAGCAATGCTGACCAGAGCTCAGGGAGGGTGTGGCTGCACTTGTCCAGAACCGTGGGGTCCGTGAACAGGAGCTCCACCCATCCCCGCCTCGGTGCCCTCAAAGCCAAGGGCCAGCAGTAGATTTGTTTGGCTAAGCATGCAGACACACCCTTGGTAATATAAACACGCCCTATCAAATTGTGGAGGGATGTTACACACAAATCCTGCACAAGGGCTGGTCAAAGACCATAGCTGTCCCATCTTCTTGCCATGACAGATGGAGCCACCCGAAGCCGTTTCTGAAAATTCTGTCCCATAAATGACAAATTCATGGTAACGAGGCAGCCAGAAAAAAAGGCAGACTTCTTACCAAGAAATATTCAGACACCCCCAAAACCAAGGATGGAAGCGGAAAGACCTCCTAGCCCTTTCATTCTGCAAGACTCCTCCAGAAACTGCTGCACTGTGTTTTTGGTCAATGCATGCCCCCCACCACACCATCCCCTCAACTTTCTGCCCCTCCAAGGCTGTTCCCCGACCAAGACCCCAGCAGAGAGATGGGTGTCTGTCACCACAGTGCTTCTCCCAGGGGCAGGGAGTGGTGCCGGCAGCCATGAAGCCCTGGCTGGGTCCCAGATGGGTAACACAGGCATCAGGAGCAGGTGGAGAATGGGGACTGGAGCTGCCATCTTCCCAGCCCTGGAGAAGACATCTAAGCCCTGGAGAAGACATCTAAGCCCTGGAGAAGACATGGTTGTGCTTCATGCAGCCCTGAGGGTCCACAGAGAGCAGAGCCTCCTGTGAGCTTTGGTGGGCTTCTCTGACCCCTGGGTCTGGGCCTGGCCCCTCTGCTGAAGGGCCACCCATGGTGAGCCTGTCCCTGAGATGGAAACAGAGGGGACACATGTGGCTAAGAAAATGTGCTGCATTCCTTTTGAGTGGATGAATGAGAGCATAGAGAAACTGGAGAAGAAAAGATGGCAGGAAGGCAGGCAGGAAGGAAGGAAAGAAGAGAGGAAAGGAGGGAGGAAATGGAGGAACGGAGAAAGGGAAGGAAGGAGGAAGGGAGGGATGGAGGAAAGGAGAGAGGGAGGGAAGGAGGAAGAGAAGGAGGAAGGGAATAGAAGGATGAATGGATGGAGGGATGAGCACACAAACCAAGTGCTGGGACCCTATAGGAACTGCCTCAAATCAGTAAGGAAGTCTGATTTATTTAACCCTCTGTGTCTGCAACCAAAGTAATAACGATGATAATAAATTCTCCATTGCTTATCAATGGCTTATAAACAATACAGGAGAGTGAAAACTTCTCAGGGATGCAGAAAGTTCTCTGAAATGCCTTTAATTCTGCCGGGCTGCACAGGTCCGGGACTACAGAGGAGGAAGAGGGTGCTTCTGCTGCAAAAATCCATGGGCTCTGTCACCACCTTCTCTCCCCACAGGTGCTGTTCAGGAGGGTAAACTGGGAAGACCACCATCGAACATCTACTATAAAAGTGCAGCGCACCTGAAAAAAAAGTTGTAACATACAAATTAGAAAATGTAAGCATTGAGAGAATCTAGCATGCAATAGGAGGTCAAGATGTGTTAAAAACTACAGATGTAAATAAATAAAAAGCAAAACCAGTCACCCAGGAGCAGGGCTTGAAATGCCCAAGGCTCCAGCAGGACAAGGGGCACAGGTGGCTGAATCCTCCCACATGAGGCTGGGGATTTCTGAAGGGATACCTGTTTGGCCCATCACCTGACCCCTGAAGCATCCTGTCTACTCACAGCCTCCACAGAGCACAGGAGGATGGATAAGGTGCCCCCACCCTGTGTGTTCTGAGGGAGACCATGGACTTACCAGAGGGATGGCCCTGCCAGTCACTCACCAACTGAACAGCAGCAGCAAACCCACCCCACGGGGAGGGTGCCCCTGAGGCTGGAGGTGGGAGGGTGAGATCAGCCCCACTGATCCTGTAACTCTGATTCAGGGTATCCTCAAGCTCCAATATCCCGTGGATCACATATGGGTCCTGGGAGGATGGTGTCAGAACTCAGACTGACCGGGACACATCCTTACTACACAGGAACTAGAGGGACAGGCTGGGTGATCAGAGAAGCTAGGCAGTCCTCCAATCCCCAAGAATATGAGCAAAGATGAGTGAGGACCACAGGGAGAAGACCATCTGCCTGGATCTCGAGGGTCTCAGGAAGGTACAGGGCTGGGACCCAGAGTGAGGACTCCCTCCAGAGACATAGGCCCTGTGGAATCTGCAGGTGCCTGTGTCCAGTCAGCTGGGCTGTGGGCAGAGGGCTCTCCCTGGCATTGAGGGCCAGGCTCTTTCAAATGCCTGCCTTCTGCCTTCACTGAAGGAGCCCTGACTCCAGGTGAGAGAGGGTCAGGGACTGTCATTCTGCCCAGGATCACCCTGGATGCCTTTCCTAAGCCTCCTCCCAAATGCCCGAATGACATTTTTCATTCCTGAGAGATTCATGACTTGGGTTGGTTTTATTCACAAACCATTGTCTCTTCTGTCCCTTCTTGCAATGGGCAGTTGTCAATGTCTTCATCATGCTTCTTACAAACGGTACGCCCCATCGTCAAGTCCATTAAATATATCCACGTCCGTGTCTGTCAAGAAGAAATTGTAGACACTTCTATGAAATACTCTTTTTGGAATGAGAAAAATAGGGAGAATCAAACAGAAAAATTGCCAGAAGAGGTGAATGTGAATATTCATGCCAATAAAGATATACATGTCATGTGCGTCTTTCTCCTATTTCTTATTTCAAGTTTCTTTTTTAAAATTTTTCTCCTAATTCTCCATTTTTCTACAAAAAAAGCTATCCATTCACTACACCAAAGGCATGCTCTAGAGTCTTTCTGCAGTACCCTTTCCAATGCCCAGTACCTGGCAGTCACATTGACAGGGTGATGAATGCTCAGGGTGTGGACCATCACATGACTGAGTCCCACATGGCAGTGCAGGCCACATACACAGAATGGCACTATCCCCTGGAGCTAGGCAGTAACCTGGGGTGGGGATTCCTGGGGGCTGCAATGCTGTGTCCTTTATGTGAGTGAAGACTGCCTGAAAGTGTTTATTTTGCAAATATTAATTGAAGTAAATATTAAGTTTGCTGTTCTGTGTGTTTATTAGGATGCTATAAAAAGTTATTAAAAGTTATGCTCATTTCTGTAAATAGAAGTTCATGAAACTCAGAAAACGTCCAGAGAGAGAGAAATCAAATCCAACCAGGAAATCTTCCCAGGCTGGAACTCATATCTCTCCTGAAAGTTGTCTAGGAAGCAGACATCCCTTGGGGACAGCAATTCATGCAAGTAACAATGATGCCCACGCATGCCCCAACATACATGACCTAAACACTCACACACTCATGCTCCAACACAACACACGCATGCCCCAACATACGCCAACATACATGACCGACACACTTACACACTCATGACCCAACACAGCACACTCATGCCCCAACACACACCAACACACACACTCATGCCTCAACACATGTGCACTCATGCCCCAACACACACCAGCACACACACTCATGCCCCAACACACACCAGCACACACACTCATGCTCCAACACAGCACACACATGCCCCAACATACATGACCTACACACTCACACACTCATGACCCAACACAGCACATGCATGCCCCAACATACATGACCTACACACTCACACACTCATGACCCAACACAGCACATGCATGCCCCAACATACATGACCTACACACTCACACACTCATGCTCCAACACAGCACACACATGTGCTCATGCCCCAATACACACCAACACACACACTCATGCCCCAACACACACCAGCACACACACTCATGCTCCAACACAGCACACGCATGCCACAACATACATGACCTACACACTCACACACTTATGCTCCAACACAGCACACACATGCACACTCATGCCCCAACATACACCAACACACACACTCATGCCCCAACACATATGCACTCATGCCCCAACACACAACACACACACTCGTGCCCCAACATATACACACTCATGCCCCAACACACACCAAAAACACACACACTCATGCCCCAACACACACCAAAAACACACATACACTCATGACCCACACATCCCAACAACACATTCACAAGCACTCATGACCCAACACACACACTCATATGCCAACACAACACACACATACTTATGGCCCAACACACACCAACACATTCACACATTCATGTCCCAACATATCAACTCCACACTCACACTCATTTATGCTTCAGCACACACCAATACACACTCACATACACATTCATGTCCCAACACACAACACACTCACACACTTATGTCTCAACACATTGATACACACTCATGCCCAACACACCAACACACACACTCATGCCCAACACACACCAATACACACACACACGCTCTGACACCCACACACTCACATGCTCATGCCCAACAAACACCAACTCACACACACTCATGTCCCAACAAACACCAACTTGCTCACACTCATGTCCCAACATACCAACACATACACACAGGCTCACGCCCCAACACACCAACTACACATTCACATCTATGCCCTGACACACACCAACACATACACTCATGCCCAGTCACAAACCAACAGCTCACACCCATGTCCTGTTCTCAGGGGCCACCCTCATTAAGAAAGCAGAATAGAAAGCTGAAGTGCTCCTAATGATACCTGACAGTTAAATTATATGATTACATGCATATTTTCAGAATTCAGAAAGCCATTGCTCTTTCCTGCAGACCAAGAATCCACGCAGCCCTGGTCTGGCGCCAGGGAACTCAGGGTTCACGGGGAGAGACAGCAGCCACTCACCTTGTGCTGGCTCCGGTGGACCCGCAGAAACTTGTAGGCAAACTCATCCTCCTGGTCCTCATTGAACTGAAACACAGCATACTCCACGGCACTGGCAAAATACTTCAAGTTCTTATCAGTGTCTACAAATTTGCAGCTGCAGACATGTGTGCCCAGCATGAAGAACCCCACAAGCAGGGGCACCTTCCACCACATGGCTGTCTCGAGTGTTGGCACCAGAGGCCGGGAGTGCTTGGGGGAGGGGAGGTCACCACTGCTGCCGGTGACGTCCTTCCCAGCTCTGACCCCACGCAGCACTGCGCAACAGGGGCCCTGAGCTGCTGGGCCCTCCCTTCGACTGGTCCCTCTGTCCAGTGCCTCTCTCCACTCCCCCACAGTGTTCCTCCCATCATCTCCAAACAAGGCCAGCAGGAGGTCACACAGCCTTGGACCCACAGGCATGCATGCAACACACATGCCTCCACATTTTCAGGGCCACCTCCTCTGGCCCCAGCCCAGCCCTGGCACGACCGGGGTGGACGTCTCCAGCTCACCTGCTTTGCCTTCACGGGGCTGCATCCCACAACTAGCAGAGTGATGGGAATGCTTCGGAATTATGATGGGCGCTGAGCCCTGAGCAGCCGAAGGGAAAGCCGTGTCTGCCTGTGACCCTGGCTGCACAGTCCATGCCCTCAGGGAGCTGCGGGAGGTTACAGAGGGAGGGGCCACTTTTGGGGGCTGGGCCATCCTCTCCACCCTCTCCGGCACCTGCTGGCCAACTTGCCAGGTCCCCGTCCTGCCCTGTGGCCTTGCAACCCTTGCTCTCAGCAGGGGCCAGAGAGAAGCCAAGTCTAAGGCCAGAGCCCTGCTCGGATGGGGGTGGAAGGCAACCAGGAGGATGAGAAGGGATCAGGAGCTGGGAAGAAGCCCTGGGGCACTAGACGACTCGTGCTCTCACCCAGCTCTGCCTCTTTGTGGTTCCCTAGGCCCATGCCCAGCCAGTGTCAGACTCTCCTCAGAGGAACAGACCTGAGCTCTGTCTGACTTCTGGGGAAGCCTCGGGGAGGTAAACAGGGCTGGGGGCTGAGCAGGTTGGGAGTGTGTGGAGGTGCCTGCGCCAGGTCTGGATGCACTAATGTGCACAAGGGTGCCCATGCCGGAGCAATGACCCTACCTTGCCTATAGGGTATGTAGACTGATGATCACAAAAAATGTCTCAGAGCTTAGGCCACTGCCTTGGGGACCAGTAGTAAGGGCAGGACTAGGGCTGACACAGGAATAGATGGGAATGTGGCCAGAACTGTGGGCACAATTATGACCATCTTCTTGCAGCTTCTCAACGGGAGGAGACCCAGAGGCTCAGGTGCACTTCCACACAGCACTGGCCTGAAAGTGGCTGGCAGGTGAGGGCCTGAGGAGCCCAGCGGCCCCGTCAGATGGATCGCCCTCAAAGTGTGCCTGAGCCCCCGTGTGTCCTCCTGACAGAGAAGCTGCAGCTCCCAGTTCTTGTCCATCTTTGCCATAGCTGCCAGCAGTCTGATTAGAATGTATCATTGTTGTGTTCCCAGGTCAGCAGGGCCTGTCCTGAGGCCCCTCCTCACTGCTGGTATGGACTGCGATTGCCTTCTCCCATTCCAGCCCTCCCTGCCCAGGGTTAGAGATTTTCTTAGACTTCAAAAAGTTAACTGTTGGATGTCCTGATCCTTGCTGTCGATCTTCGCTGTCTCTTTCACTCTTTGCTATGACTTTCTTCTCTTTTTTCCCCCAGTTCAATTTGCAGTTCTCTGATTTTTGAGCTTGAAGGGGAGTTGCTGGCCTGCTCATTCTCTAGATCAGGAGGAGACCCTCAGAGCGTGGCGTCAGCACCATCCCACATGTTCATCACTCAGCTTTCAACTCCAGGGTTTTAAAAGTACAGGCTAATCTGCACTGGGATTACTTCTTGAGTCCATGTGTTACTTAGAGGTGCGTAGCCGAGTTTTCAAACATTTCTGTCCTAATTTCTACCTAAATTTCACAGAGAACATATTCTATGTGATTGAAATTCATTAAGAATATGTTCAATTGGGATAAATGTTCTATCTGCTTAAAAAAATGAATGTTCTCCAGTTGTTGGATGATATTCTACATAACAAAAGATCAAATATGTTTAGGGAGCTCTTACATTTTTGAGCCTCTTCTGAGTTTTACTTGGTGGGTTCCGTCAGTTCTTAAGAGAGGTGCCTAAAACTCTCCCGAGAGGATGATGGCGTGGCTGGTTTTCCTTGTAGCCTTGGCATGTGTTACTTTATATATATTTTAGGCTGTGATAAGAGTGGGCACCACAGACGGAACTGTTGTAACTTCAACAATCGAGCAAAGACGTGCCCTTTAGTTCCCCAGGGCCATGTTTCTAATTTCATAAAACCAGCAGAAAGAGACACTGCAGTCAGAATTGGTCACCCCTGTTTTCACCAAGTTGCCCCACTAGAGGCTCATGAGAATCATCAAAGGAAACTTTCAAATAATCCAGCAGCTGAGCCTGAATGCTAAAGAGCGTGGCATGAACAATGAAAGCCACCTGGTGCACCTAAGTGCATCTGAGCTCAAATTACAACTTTAAATTGAAAAAAGAGCAGGACACTAGGCCTTCCTTGTGAACTGAGAATTGAAAGTCAAGGTGCTTCCACCAGTGAGCAATGCGGGCCGGAACCCACTGCACTCGTCTAGAGCAGCAGGCATGAGGCCCATGTACAAGGTCTCTGCCCCTCACAGCCTGAGTGCTCTCAGAGCCAAGGGCCGGCAACAGATTGGCCTTGCTGGCCACACAGACACACCCTCACTAATACAAATATGTCCTCTCAAAGTGTGAGGGGATGTCACAAATTCTGCACACAGGTTGATCCAAGGACCAAAGCTGCCCCGTCTTTTTACCATGACAGATGGAGTTGCCCAGGGCTGTTTCTGAAAAGTCTGTTCCATCAACTCTTATGGGAAATTCATGGGAATGAGCAATCCAGGAAAAAGGCAGATTCTTACCAAGAAATATGCAAATCAAAGTCCCCAAAAACCCACGATGGAGGAGGAAAGACTCCCCAGCACTTCGGGTCTGAAAGATCCTCCAGAGGGCTTTGCATTCCCCTGCGTTTCTGGCCCACCCATGTAGCCCTTTCCCCGACCCTCATCTCTCTGCCCCTCCAAGGCTGCTCCCTGCCAAGACCCCAGTGGAGAGACCTGCTCATCAGGATGGGTGTCTGTCACCACGGTGCCCCTCCCAGGGGAAGTGAGTGGTGCCGACAGGTATGAAGGCCCGGCTGAGTCCCGGCTGGGGAACATGTGCACCAGAGGGCATGGGGGACATGGGGACTGGAGGTGCCATCTTCTGAGCTGTCATCTGAGCACTAAAGAGGACATCCTTGTCATTTATGCAGCCCTCTGTGGACACAGAGGGCAGATCCTCCTGTCAGCTTCAGTGACCTCTGACCCCTGGGCCTGGGCCTGGCAAAAGAGCCACCCACTGTGAGTCTGTCCCTGAGACCGAAACAGAAGGGTCATGTGTGGTTAACAAAATTTTCAGCATTTTTTTTAGTAGATGGATGATGCCATAGAGAAACGGAAAGGTGAATGAATGAATGAGTGGATGAATAAATGAAGGAATGGATGGATGGATGGATGGATGAGCACACCAACCAGCCAGTGGGGCTTCTATGTGAACTGCCTCAAATAAACTTGGGAGTTTGGTTTATTCCACACTCTGCGCCTGCAGCCAAGGTGCTGATGATAATAAATTCTCCCTTGCTTGTCACTGCCAGCAACATCCACGGCAAATGAACGATAGGAAAGAGTGAAAAACTGTTTACAGACCCAGCAAGCGCTCAGATGCCTTGAATTCTGCTAGTGCAGCATAAGCCCGGAACCACAGACTGCCACACTCTAGAGGAAGAGAAGGCTTCTGCGGCAGAAAACCAGGGGCTCTGCCACCGCCTGTATCTTAATTACTGGTGCTGTTCAGGAGGGAACTGGGGAAACCAAGGTCTGGCATCCACGACAAAAGTGCGGTGCACCTGAAAAAAATAATTATAACACACAAATTAGAAAAATGTAATGCAGTGAGAGCATTTAGCATGCAGTAGGGGGTCAAGATGTATTAAAAACAATGAAAAATGAAAAACAAAAACAGTCACCCAGGAACCGGGCTTCAAATGCCCAAGCCTCCATCAGTACAAGGGGCACAGGTGGCCAAATGCTCCAGCCTGAGCCTGGGGATCCTGAAAGGACGCCTGGTTGGGCCATCACCTGACCCCTGAAGCATCCTGTCCACTTACAATCTCCCTAGCACACATGATGCTGGATGAACTGCTCCCACCCTGTGTGCTCTGGGGGAGAGAAAGGACTTCCCAAGGGATGGTCCCACTGGGCACCCACCAACCGAGCACAGCAGTTGACAGCAAGACTGCAGGTGGAAGGGTGAGATCAGCCCTGCTGCCCCTGTTACTCTGATTCAGGGCGTCTTCAAGCTCTGAGCTCACATGGATCACGTGTGGGTCTTGGGAGGATGGTGTCAGAACTCAGACTGACCAGGACATGTCGTTACCACACAGGACCTAGAGGGACAGTCTGGGTGATGAAAGAAACTAGACAGTCCTCCAATCCCCAAGAACATAAGCAAAGAAGAGTGAGGACCACAGGGAGAACAGCATCTGCCTGGATCTCAAGGGTGTCAGGAAGGTACATGACTGGGAAGCAAAGTGAGGACTTCATCCAGGGACAGAGGCCGTGTGGAATCTGCAGGTCCCTGCTCTGCCAGCCAGCCAGGCTGTGAGCAGAAGGTTCTCCCTGGCACTGAGGCCAGGCTCTGTCTGCTTACGTGCCCACCTTCTGCCTTCACAGAGGGAGCCCTGACTCCAGGTGAGAGAGGGGGTCAGGGACCCTCATTCTGCCCCAGGAGCACCTCTGATGACCTTTCTAAGCCTCCTCCCAAAGGCCTACCTTGATATTATTTTCCATTTTTGAGAGATTCATGATGCTTTGGGGTTGATATTATTCTCAAACCTTTTCCTCTCCTGAGCCTTCTTGCAATGAGCAATTGTTAATGTCTTCATCGTATTTTTTACAAATTGCGCGGCCCATCTCCAAGTCTATTAAAAATATTTTTGTCCACATCTGTCCAGAAGAAATTATACAAACAGCTGCTGAGTATTTTCTTTTCATGAATTAAAAAAAAAAAGGCAGAGAAACAAGTAGGAAAGTGGATAAAAGACTGACATCATCATGTCATTCAAATAGGGCTAGACGGGGCATGCACAACCTCTCCAGAAGGCAATAGAAGAGAGTCCACTAAGGGCCCTTTGGATACACACTGGCATCTGCCTAGTGGCTAATACCTGACAGTTGGATTGACAGAGTGATAAACATATAGGGTGTGACACACTCACAATCAGCAGTGAGCCTGCTCCTGCCGCAGCCACACCCGGCCGTGCCCCGCCTCACACCTGAATCTCAGCCACACACGGAGGGCTCACACTGGATGGTTCCTTTTACACAGAGTGGGAAATGGGCAAGACCAATGCCTGGGATTAGAAACAGGTCAGCGGGACTCCTTGCAGGGATAGACTGTAGACGGGGTCACAGAGGGTCTCTGAGGGAACGGCACTGTTCTGCTTCGTGTGGGTGACGA